CTTTCACCGGGACTGTGCCACACCGAACCCCCAAGTGCGGGCCTACTCGAGGCTTCCAGCAGCTTCTCCAGCGTGCTGAGCCTCGGTTTTTTGACTCGTCAATCTTACCCTGCGCTAGGCCTATGCTTCGATGAACTTCCCGATGCTCATTGCTATCAGTAGCGTACTGGAGCTGATCGATGCATTTCCACGGGCTTCGTAGGTGTAAGAGTGTTGCCTGCTCCCAAGCTGGTTCGAGGGCTTCGGCTTCGAGTGGGCTCGGTTCTTTGTGGACGAACCGTAGTGCACGAAACCAAGATCGCCTTTGCTTGTGGTTAGTGGCAGCAATTAATAATATTGGTGATGTATGAAGTCGTTGCCACAGCATGACCGTGATGGTGGTTGTGGTGCTGCTGCGGTTGTCACGGAATAGTATAGTTATGATCTCTTTCATTTCTCGTTTCTAAACTAGGCTTGTCACCGATGTTTCTAGTTGACGGTGCCTGGTGGGACCAGCAGCATATGCCAACAAAAGTGCATGCGCGCACATGCACACACACACACACAAGGTAACGCACACAGCGCTGTCCTTGCCTAGACAACCTGTTGCTCGCAGCGCCCTGGGAGGGTACCGGGCAGCAGGCTAGAAGAGATGGCATTTAAATCCTAAGCCGTAACCCGTCCTGAAGCCGGCTAAGCCCCTGAACCTAGGTTGCCAAACCGCCTGACAAGGGCCACCATTCTTCAGTTCTTGTTGCAAGCCAGCGGCTCGGCAGTTGCAATCGAATCCTTGCATCGGAAGGTTTGCCAGGGCAGTGGCTTGTAGACGTGGTGCTTCTGGATGTCCCAGGAAGCCTGAGAGTCTGCCAAGTCTTGTGCAGAACCTGTGAGAACACAGCTGTTGTCAGATTTTCAAGCTCTAGAAGCCCTACAACACTCGAATGCAGGTAAGGCGCATTCAAAGCCCAACTGGATGCCGGAAGGTTGCGGAAATCTAGCTCGGTCAATGGCCTTCCCACACTGTTCCTGATGCTGTTTTTGTCCTCCACGCGCTCGCGGCGGGTGGTGCCAAGAACCTTCCAGTCAGCGTCGGTCATGACAGCCTTGTCCTTCAAGGCGGAGATGCGCCTGCTCAAGGATCGCGGATATTTGCCAAGTAGCTACATTCTCAAAAACTGTTCGGCTGCCTGTTTCAACTGGTGGACTTTTACTAGCTTGTGCTTGCACTTCTTGGATTGGTTAGGGTGGATGCAGAAGGCCCTTTCCGGAGGGTTGACGGTCACGGGGAAACAGCCGTCCGTGGTTTTAGGATTCCAGGATTGACGTGGTTCAAGCAAGGCTGCATAGGTTCGATGCTCTGTGAGGCCTATGGCGTTGGGCTGTTGCCCGCTTCAGCCGTTGCCATTTTAGGTTCCGGGTTTGGGCTTCGGACCGGGCGTCCTCGACATGACAAACTGAAGACAGCTCTGCTAGGCTGTCGCGCTGCCTGCAGATCATCTCGGACCCTTCCTTAGCAGGAATCACGCCCGACTCGATGCTGGCCAGGATGTTGGTGACCGCATCCTCCAGGCCCAGACAACATCGCCGGAAAGCTTCGGAAAGAGCAGCAGGCGACAACACTTCGCGACATGCACTGTAGTACCAAGCTCAACATCATCTAGTTGCCAGCCTGGCTAGCCTGCCTTTCAGAACTCACGGTCCGGCGCCTTGTATTCTTGGCATTCGAGGGGTGCCCACCATCGCTTTGACAGCTTCCGATCGCCCGTGATGAAGCGACTCAGCTTGTCAGGTCTTCAAGCCTTCCTTTTGACACTCGCCGTCTGAAGCACAATACACTACATTTCATCTGTCTGCAGGATGGATGGATCTAAGCGGTAGACTCGGTAGATTTGATGGAGGCTGCTCCCTTCTAAGGTCGCCGATTAGTTACTTAGTCGTCTTACAACCAGTACCTGGCGCGGTCGTTCGGATCCTACTGCGACTCACTTGAACTTCTCTTGCCACCCAGGTGCTGCTGACGTTCGGAAAGGAGCTTCAGAATGCCAACAAAAACGAAATCGATGCCCTTCTGCTTCACGCCTTGAGGTAGGAGCCTCGGCATTGAATGCTTGAGAG